AAGCAAACAAGAACAATAAAGAAAGTAAATATCTACAAGAGAAGAAACTGACAAAAAGCAAACATCTGTGACAGGATTCTAGAAAGTAACAGAAATTAGGGCACCAGGAACTTCTGGGGTCACTAGAGACCTCTAAGGGTAGAAATAAGGAGTAAGAAGCAGGCTGAACAGAGTATAACAGACACCTCCCCACCCTAATTATGTGACAATCCCTCTGCCACACTGCTAGAAGACTGGAAGTTTATTCCCGGAAGAAATGCAATAGATTTACAGATAATGACATTTGGGAAGTCCCTAGTGAAAAGGTTCCTGGTCCCCTGAGCATCCTACAGAGAAATCCATTTTATTAGATAAGCTTCTAAAACACACAAATTCCAATTAGTTTTTAGGTGTCTCTTTTTTTTAATTGGTCTTTTGAGAAAAGGTCTCCCTATTATTCCAAGCTAGCCTTGAGCTCACTATGCAGCCCATGCTGGCTTCAAACTTACACTGATTCTCCTGTTTTAGCCTTGGGAATGCTGGGATTACCATGCCTGGCAGGTGTCATTCTTAAAAACAAATGGATGGCCAAGGATCACAGACTTTTGAGGAAAAGTATCCTATATGAAAGACAAAAAAAAACCCATAGAGAAAATACAAAAGAAATTTGAGTGGAAACAGACGAAATATGGGGGGGGGAGAGGGGAGGGGAGGCAAAGATCTCCAGTGAGATAGAAGGAGTTATGGCACCTTGGAAGAGTGGGCTACTATGAAAAAGAAGCATTGAAAGAATCAATAGGAAAAAAATATGGAAATAAATATAGAAGAAATCTAAAATTCAATGTGGGCTAACGGAGACAAAATAGGAAACAACATAATTAGAAGATGAATATGGAAGCCAAAGACCCAACAAATAGGACTTCCAGAAAGAAAGAAAAAAAAAATCATGAGGAGAGACAAAGAGAGACAGAACTATCTATCTAAAGAAAAAAATGCAAGAATTATTTTCAGAATGAAGGCATGAATTCCCTTGATATAAATGACCTGCCACTTCACCTTCACACTAGAATTGTGAATGAAAAAGGATCGTCAGCAAGTCATAGCATCATGAAAATTCAGAACTCTGGAACATTAAGGATTCTAAAGCTTTTATAGAAAAAGAGAAAGAATAGCATCAGATTCATCATCATTACATTGAAAGCTAAAAGGTAATAGAGCAATGTTCTACCAATTGAGTTGAAATAAATTCCAATCTAGAATATTAATCTCAGACAAGCTATCAATCAAGGTAAGTGAATAGAAAGCTTCATACATACCTTATTTCAAAAACTTCCTGTCTCTCTGTCTCTCTCCCACTCTCCCTCCCTCCTTCCCTTCTTCTTTCCCTCCCTCCCTTTCAGTACTAGTGATTGAACCCTGGGCCTTCACACTGAGCTATACAATTCACAGCCTTTTCTTTATTTTTAGATAAGTTGTCTCTAAATTTCCCTGCATGGGTACAAATTTTTGATGCTACTGCCTCAGTTTCCCAGAGTGCTAGGATTATAGGCACGGGATACCAGGAGTGGCACATGAGAATTTGTATCTTTTCTCAGGTAGTTAATGATTGATACATTTCACTAAACAAGAAATATAGGGCAAAAGGGAGGAAGCTGAGAATACAGGAAACTTTATAACACAGGAAGAGAGGAAAGAATTTTCCAGGAAGAAAGCTGTATACCAAACTTAGAGAGAGCAAGAAAGAGATGATGATGAGAGACAGCCACACAGCTGATAATGAGGGTGATCAAGAAAGGATGTCACAGAAAAAAGGAACTCGGAACTCGGAAATGACCTCATGAGCATCATCTTAATGAGAGGAGTTTTTACAGTTTTTTCAGAAAGTTTGCAAAGGAAGTGGTATCAAATATATAGAAACTAAGCCATACTAAGACATTTATTAAAATATGACTGAGTCCTGTCCCAGAAGTTAAACAAAAAATAAAATATAATCATAGTGCACAAAATGGCTCAGGTGTTTGATCAGTATAAGTACTATAAATTGAGTTACCAAAAATTGTGCTAGAATTTCTCTTTACCTTTGGAGAATAGGGAAGGGGAAGAACATACTGATGTTGGAAAAAGAAGAGAAGGGGGATAAGAGAGAGTCCGATGCTCACCTTTCATAAAAGTGAGTACATTGCATCTGACAATGAAAAATCAAACTTCAGAAGTATAAATACGTTTTTCTGAAGAAGCTTCTAAAACAAGCAAAGTGATTAATTCTAAGAACAGTAATTAATGACAAGGTAAAGGAAGCAGGAGGCTCAGTTATATTTTAAGTTTCATTAACTATTAAAAATTTAAAGTACATGTTGGCATTGCTTTGATAAAAACAAACTGAACATCAATGTTTAAATAATTCAAAACAAAAATCAACCAAATAAAAAAAATTCCGGAAATTCTAGTACAGTAGCTGATGTAGATGATCACATTTCCTTGTGGGTACCACAGATAGCTCTCTTTACATCTGCTTCACCCAAATACCTTCTCTACCTCCCTCTTCTTCCCTTCTCCAGATCCCTAATTGCTTGACCTCAGTCCCGCAAATGATCCAGCCATCAAAGAGCAAATGCAAATATTGTTCTCAGCGCCATCTAGGGACTAAAATGAAAAATAAAACTTGGGTCTCTGCCTTCAAATTACAGGAGATCTGTTTGAGAGTCTGTCATATACAGGCAACAGATAATAGAAATTAACCACAATTAAATATTAAATTGTGTGATACAAACTATATTGGTTCAGAGACATGTCAGATCAGGGAGAAAATAGCTGGAACTGTGAAAGGCAAAGTGGAAAGTGGTGAGGAAGAGCCTGGAGGCAAAGGGTGGGTCATTCATTGCAGTGCTTTGTAGGTCCTGTCAAGGTTTGGAGCTTTAGTGTAATGAAAATCCATCAAAAGGATCCCAGTCATACAACAACAAAATTTTGCAAAGATCACTCCGATCATTGGATGAAGAGAAGACTGAAGAGTGACGAAAATTAACAGAGTGGAGCTAAAGTTTAGTTAAAGGGTTAGTGGATCAGGATGGTGGCTATGGAAACATAGATTATTAAAAATACACTATAGAAGTAGAGTCTATAAGATCTGATGTATTATTTATGTAAAGGACATGAGGAAGGACTAGGAGGAAGGAACTATGGATGACTCTGAGAAGTCTAATTTGATCATTTAGGTGTATGGTGGTTTCATATTCCCAGTATGGGGGAAGATTAGGAAAAGTGTAAGTTTTAGAGAGGGAAGTTAAAAGTCAAGGGTTGAACAAGCCAAGACGCAAATATTTGAGATATCCAACTGGATATGTTCATAATCAGATGATTCATTTTCTTCCCTATAACCCATCTTCTAGTGTAATGATGGCAAACGTTTTAGAGACCAAGGCCCAAACTGCAAACCAAAACCTACTTATTTATCACAAAAAGCCAATACTGAAATTAAACCTAAATGCTTGACTGCTGGGGTACTACTGGGGCAGTTTGACTCCCTGGGGTGATTTGGCTTTTATGCTTACAGAGAGGGCTCTGAATGCCCACTGTGGCATGCATGTCATAGGTTCACCACCTCTTTTCCAGCATATAGGCCTGGGGTCCCATAAAGAGGTCTAGTGCAGAGTTAATTTGGAGGAGTGTTGACATGTTGATGTTATTTGAGGTCGTGAAAACATATGAGATCATTCTGGGCTGTGGTCTTTAAACCTGGGGTGCATGTTTACAATGCAAGTTTGAAGTTTCCACCCTAGAGTTTCTGATTCAGTCTTGATGAGAGCCAGGAATCTGCTTTATTAAAGGCAACCCAAAATATTCTGTTGACAGTATGTAATTTAGGTTGAAATGAGCTTAAATATAATTCATAGGTGAGAAAGTAGCAATACCAAGGGTAGCAAATACTTTTTTGAACTTAAAGAAAAATAGGTTAGTAGGTACATGGGATGCCAAATGCAGGGTTATCTAATTTATTTTTATATTAGTTTTTCAAAAGTTAGATGACATTAGAGCAGAAGTTCATAATCTCAGCTACACATTATAATCCCTAACAAGCTTTTTAAAAATACTGATGCACAGGGCCACCCTAGATTAGTAAATCTGAATTTCTAGGAGTGAACCCTATTATCAGCATTGTTTTTAATCTCCCCTGTGCCTGGCAAATAGTATGCTCTCAATTCATTCTTGTTATTGTAGGAAGTATTGCTGTCCAGTAGCAGATGATACAGATCCCAGGAAACCACGTAATGTATTGTAAAGTTCATGTAATCTTCGTGCAAAAAGGATTACAGCTCAATTATTTTACTTTCAAATATAGAAACTGAAGCCCAAGAAGGAAATTACATTCTCGAGATCTCTGACCTTGGTAGCTGCGCATCTGAAACAGAATACAAATTCTGAGAACAGTTCGTTGCTTTCCTGTACTTCCACAATCTCATTTTGACAGCATCAAGCTCTAGCCTGACTAATAATACCAGCCACTTGATACCCAGATTCCTCAATCACAAACCGACCCATACCATCTTTTCCGTCAAACCTGTTGCCACCCCCAAAACCCTCCTATGTTCCAGATTTATCCTTCCCCCTTCACAGCCTCCAGCCCAGCTCTGGATGTTACCAGTGGGCCCCAGGGTTCTCCTGGCGCTTGCGCCGTTAGAGGCTACGGACTCTGTCGTCATAGCAATTGGAGACGCACTGCGCAGCCGGAGGCAACAAGGCACAGGAGTTCCCGATTCAACATTTGTGTGTGCACGCGCGCTTTTCTTACCGTTTCCCGTGCCTGATGCGTGAATTTGAGGTTCTGGTAAGAAAGCTCCATCAGACACTGTTAGGGCCCGAGAGAAGGGAGAAAAGAAGTCAGTTTCTACGCTAACCAGTACGTCTCTGGAATGAGGCTCGGGTACACCTGACGCTTAACCAGCCCGCCCCTTTCTGGATTGGCTAGAACATAGACAGCTAAACCAATCACTGGCCAGAGATGGACTCTTTATCACGTCCATCAACGTTAAACTAAGAACTTTTACTTCAGTGTTTCTGTGGTCCTAGCCAATCAAGAGCACGAGGGTAGGTTTGAAATTGTTTTGGTTCTATTAATTCTATTTCTAAAATGGCAAATTACTTTAAATTATGCAGCATAGTTTTTGCCCTTGTTTTTGGCAGTTACTCCGGCCTTTGGGACTCAGTGACTATATTTTGACACCCCCTCCATTAAGGTAAATGTTTGGAAGTTTCCTTCTGCTTTTTCCCCCTCCTCTCTCACCTGAATTTCTTTTGAAATTGTCTATACATGGTCCAGATTAGAAAAATCTATGAACACCTGGGTTGTCAGGGTTTCAGAATCTTTCTGGACTGCAAAGTATGCCCTTCCTGCCTCCTCCAACTCCCGTTTCATCAGACCAACTTTCATCAGAAGTGACAAACGTGGACTGTAGATTTTTCTCAACTCCATTTTCTTCCTGTATTTCTCATTTACTCCATGAAATTTAGGGCTTCAGTGTCTTTGCGCGCTCCCCCCATCCCTCCCTCCCTCTCCCCTCCCCCTCATCCTTTCCCTTTCCCTCTTC